TCATCATGAAGGCAATATCAGTTATTACTCATCTGCTTTGGCTATCATTAGACTATGGTATATTTACCTTTCTATATACATCTATCTCGGATTCCAGTTAATATTATTACCACCACACAAGATAAATATAACGATATGCCAACTTCAAGTATTTTGTTTCCACTTGTTAAGTAATGCATGAATGACGAACTTAAGAACCTCTCTCTTGGAACTTCAGTATCTTTTCTCAACAGGCAGATTATCAGAGAAAGAGATAAAATCCACGTGCCAGAAATTAGACTATCATTAGATTTCTTGAGGAACAAGGTCTTATATATATAACAGGATTTTGCATAGTGATCAATGCGATTGTATTTGAGGTATATTTTGTGGAAAAGGTGGTCTGGTAAAGAATCTTTCAATATCCAACTGTTTTGATGTGCGTGATCACCAGCAATTGATTAGTAATGGATAAGTTATATTAGCTGGACATGATAGAACTCATCAAGTATTTTGTCGCTAGATTTGAAAAAGTCTGGTGATGTGCACATTATACGATAAGTAAAGCCTAGATGACGAACACAACTACCCCATTTGGAACTTCATGTTTATTTCTCAAAATATTAAAAACAAACATCTATCGTATTGAGAAAACAGGGTCGTATACATGTATATTACAGGATTATGCATAATATAGTATATTGACCAATGTGACTGTAGCCTATTTGAGGTATATTTTGTTGGAAAAGGGTGATCTGGTAGGCATCTTTCCCTTTCCAGCTGTTTTGATGTGCGTGATCGCCTTCAATTGTACTAATATGCGAGATACCAAATTATTTTAGCTTGACATGATGGAACTCATAAAGTATTTTATCGAAGGATTTGAAACGCTTTCCAGTATACAGTGAGGGAAATTTAGCAATGGGAGCTACGTTAGCCAAATCGTTTATTCTTTGATAAAGAAAAGGTTTAAAAATGCATTATTCGTCTAAAAAACAAATTCCGAGAATTTGATTTATGTATCTCTTCAATTTAAAGGATCAATTTTTATTCATTAGAACGGTTCAAAATTTTCTGACTCAATGCACTCCTTAGCTCTATCTGTCGGCGTTTCCATTTATTACACAGTTAAATGAAATAATCGAGTTGCAGACCTCATCAGCTACTTCGAAGAAAATTTATAGATAGTTGGTTTTATAGCAGTCGTGATAAATATCGAAATTTTCTATTAAGTAATGTATTGGAAAATTCATTGTTAAGATATTAAATTTCATTTTCTTATAATTCTTTAATTATAAATCTAATAATGATAAATCTTTATTATGCATTATGAAGTCATAAAGTTGTGACATTGATAGATAGTTACATTGTTTCCTTGGGAGATTTAATTTAAGCTCTCTTATACAAGTATAATATATGATTAGAACAAAGAACACGCTATGCAGATTGCGTTTACGCACCACAAATCTAATTTTAAATATGCGATGCTTCTTCAGAATTAACTTACCTCCTTGTTGCTTTCCACTTATTTTGCCATTTTCATCTTTCTTTGGATTTGGATGAAAGGACTCAGGAACAGGCGGCAACTGTGAGCATCGCATCGATCACTTGGCTTACGACTGGAAAATCGCAATTACCGTTAGATGCACATGTTGCATTTTTTGAGAAATTTGAATCTTACGACCATGGCAATTATCATGAGCGCTTGCAACAGAACGGATGATATGCTTCGAATCGTCTACCTTAGCCCTCTTTCAGGATACGAGACAAAACCCGAATATCTTCGTATCTTTCAGCATGTGACTTGAATTATCTAAATGAGTCCGATTCAATGATATAATTTCTATTCTGAAAAATCTCATTTCACTATAATGAAGTCATCAAATTTTGTCATTGATGTATATATAATTGCTGTGAATTTGGTTATATATTATTCTTAATTGTTTCCGCGAGTGGTGAATGCATCCTTGTTAACCTCGTAATTGAAGGCAATGAATGCAATATTTCAAATTACGCTTTATAAAACTCAATATGTGATTTGCCAATAGTAGATGAGTAAGACATTGATCAGCCCCTCTTACCTGCATCACTGACAGGGTGAAACCGGGTTGAAAAATCCGAAGGTATTATCTCGACCTATGCCGGGATTGAACCCTGGACCTAGATAGGTTAGTTAGCGATCAAAGGTCTAACACCGGCTTCCAATTGTTTTCATAGCTGCAATCGAACCATGAATGGCAAAATGAAATCGTATTGCACATCAAAACCATATCAACATTTCTATGAAAGATTCGTTTTTAAAATATTTTCTCTTTACTCTCCATAAAAGAAGCACTCAACAATGTCAACTTCTAGAATAATGTACCCCAACCCGCATCCAAGCTTATCTGCCAGTTTCATTCAGGACAGGTCTTAAATCTAGTAGATTGAGAAGTTAAAGATTATACCCACGTTTTGTAAACTTACAACTTATACCCAATGAATATTTGTGTTAATCATATCATAATGTTCTGGTCTATTTCTATTTTATTTTGTCTGTAGGTATATCAGAATCTACAGTCTGTGGGCAATGATTCGGTCGTTGTTTATGATGTGTTTGAATATCTTGCAAAAAGTATTCATTACACACATGAGTCTCTGTTCATAGAAATATTATCGATTTAATATTTCAATATGACAGATTTAAATCGTCACAGCTCGTCACATTATATATTTACAAATATTTTCCTCAAGGCGATTCTTTATAATCTTCAAACTACTAACGATAGTTCTAAGACTGTACACCACATGTTCCAATCTTTCTGTTGACACACTCGTCGAGCATTCATCTAGATCGATAGAAGGCCAGATACGGATCATTAGAACCATGCCTCTATTCTGAGACCACTTGTTATCCTCAACCTTGGATGGTACCAATTTTCTCATCTTTATTTGCAGAAAACGACTCACATTAATTACGATTTGACAGTAAATCAGTAAGCCACTATCAGAGGCTCTATTTGGGATTATTGAACATGACAGGTCTAGTTTTCTACGATCATGTTATACGATAAATCTCACACCGTCGTAAGATAAATCACTTTGATGTGTGTATCTTTATGAATGAATCTAGCCAGTTGATAATTTAGAAGTCTTTGGTTGTGGTTTATGGTATGGAAAAATAATAAAACATCTAAATTGACTTGAAATTTTTCTCTGGAATATGAAAAGTGCTGTAAATTGCAAGTGTATATGGCTGGTAACTTTGTTAAAGGTATACTACCTCTTAAGATGACCAAAACACAACAAATTGAAATTTTTTATCAGTGGACTTGCCTGGTGTCAAAACTATACGACAGAATCCATTTCTAATCCAATAAATCCATAAAACTTAACAATAATTCATTAAACTAAGTAGTTTTTTGGGTTTAATTTTTATATCGTCTTATATAGAGATTCTATTCTTTAGTCATGGCACCTGGTTAGTCCAGCTGATGAATATATACTTTATTGACGAAGTTTAAGACCTTCACTTTTATGTGCATTTTATGTCCATTATGTTGCATTTAATACCCATTACCCACTATAGTAAAACTTTTAATGCAAATGATTGTATATGTAGTCCGTGTTATTTTTAGAAATCCTCTTTTTCCCTCCCTGTTGGAGTTTTTGCATGCCTATTTTTGACTAATTTGTGGTCTAGATTTGATGCCTGAAATTACAGATATTGTGAGATGATGAGAGATTTCCATGCGGAAGGATAATTCTAAAAATAGTCGTTCTGTGTGTAGTGTCAGTCAAGCGGATGTTGATAAATGTAGTGGTCTACTTTCAGTTTGGCTAGCTCAAGTATTCATGATCATGATATATTGAATTTTTGTCTAGAAACTAAGCATTGGCCAGACTTTCATGTTGGCTTTATTTCAACAAAATTATAAACCACGAAATATTTAAATAAAGTATCACTATTATTGAAACAAAGTTCACATTATATAATTTATTAGTATATATACATGTTTATAACGATACATACCCAGAAAAAGTTCACAGAGCATTTTCTTTATTAACACAGCTTTAAAAAGAGTATACGCTTTACAATATGTATCTTTCTTTTAATATCAATCAATTTGAATTATACGATACGCTTTTCTTATATACAGTAGCAATTTTAAAGAATTATACAATACGTTCTCCTATAAATACTGATAAAGATACATTATGTATTAGATTTTCGTTACATACATTGATTTATTAACGTATAAATTATATATAAAAATATACATTATATCCTACATAAAAACTCTAAAATAGAATGCAAAAGAAGACTGAAAAAACTAAAATGGAATCATCTTATGCAATACATAATCCAAATAGATTCATACTTCAAACAGAGAACATCTTAAAGTATCGCTTTCCATACTTGGATCAAAGTACCTCTGTGTAATTGTACTCCAAATTCACAATATGAATAATTGTTTATTTTTGGTCTTAACGAAACTACTAAATCTTCTTCAGAAAACATTTGATTGCAAGAACCAAATTGCGATGGAATTCAATTTTAGGATTAATTATCTGAGGCCAGGCATTTGATGGAGTGCAATTACCAGAAATCGATTGAAACTATCTCTCCAAGGAACAGGTTTTTGTAGAAAGTTTCGATTTTATACTCAAAATACAACACGTGCACCAGTATAAGTTTGTAAAACACTAGACTGGTTTTCCATTGATAGCTTTTTAATGTTCGCTATTCCAAATGTGCTGCTATCTTAATTAGTAACATGGGAATTGTATTCTACAAGTGTGAGCTCAATTTGATCTACGCGATTATTATCAGTTCATAGTGTCGTCGAAAACTAGTTCATTACTGCTTATTATTTCCTTTATCCTATCTTTTGCCAAAGCCAAGTTTTAAGCCATAGTTTAAATCATGCAAGTACTGAACGATGCTTTTATACAATTAATAACATAAAGATATTTCAACCCGAAGGATGTAATATTCTAACACATACTCGAGGTTGATAAATCTCAAACAAACTTAAAAAGCAAAAGTCACGATTGTATTATTTAATGACAAGATTTTTTCGTCCCTCCCTCTGTACCTGCTTATAGCCCTTATATGAGATGCATTGCAAATAACTTCTTAAATATTGAAAGAAGAGTTAATATAGAAAATGCCAACAACAGTACTAAATATATATCATTAAAATTAAGGACTTTCTGTCGATTGTATTCCACTGCGTTTACAATATGCATTGTCTATTCCTCTATCACATACTATGTTCTGGTTTTTAGGTGTAGCAACAAAATACGTATCACCTGCGCAGACTTCTGTTTTTTTCTCTCCATGAACGCAACGGGTATAATTTTTGCATGATCCCTCAACTGGAATGTAGGCGTAGTTTGGTTTGCCTTCACAGCTATAGGGGTCGTCTACAAAGTTAGGATCTGTTGTGGTAGCTGTAAATCATAAAGGTAAATATTAATTACGTATATAAATAAAAACATAACATATGATAATATTTGAACATGAACTTCTCCGGAAATTTTTTATTTTTCGAAAAGTATGCCTCTCACTCCTGGAAATTGTTTCTTCCTGTGTAAAAACGCCACAGGAAAAAAAGAAATGAAATATATCAATATTTAGGGGTAGCTGAAGTCTGCGGAAGTTTTGCCATTCTTTACAATACGCCAGTATAGACATCATATATTCTTGTCGGTTATATCAGAAAAAATGCTCACACAGATCAGGTGGATTTGCTATAGACTCTCAATGATGACATAACAGGATCTAAATTGCCCTCTGTTCGTCGTCTTTGGATTTTTCCTACATCTGCATCTTGACTTAAAGAAACTGAAGAGATAGGCCTCTACATTTACTTTTGACAGATAATTGACCTTCTGGTCAAAAGCCCAATAGACAATACTGCCGAACAAAGGTTGACAAACTGTTTGAGACGTGGCGTGTTATGAAAATCATTGAGTATGATCAACAAGGATATATCCAAGGCTGCATATACGAAGCTGACCGCTGATGCGATACCTGTCTGAGGAATTAATTGGTCTGGCTTTATTCGACAAGAACGTTCCTTCTTCAATGACACGGGGGTTCAATCCCGGCATAGGTCTAGCTGTCCTGGCAAAATTTCCCTCATGGCACCCTGCATGGCGTTGCCCGTCTTCATTAGCCCACAAGGTGCAGAAAAGTAGGACGTAAAACTCATTTCATTTCATTTCATTTCAATGACACGGGGAAATGGTACAGTCTCTGGTGATTGAAGGTGAAGACGACCCAAATGAATTTATCGACAATTTTAGCCAGTGAATTGAAGGACTTCACAACAGCGTCTAGTTGTTCCAGAAGATGAAACTGCCAGATGAATTCCTCGTCACAGATACCTGCAGGGCAGAAAAGGAGCACTTCAAACACGCCTTGCCAATCGTAGTTCAAATGAAGATTGTCAACGATCATGCGGAACGTGGCGTGGCACTCATTCAAAAGTATTATGGAATACTGACAAAGGATGAAGATCAACTATAGTATATTTTGCAAGTAGTTCAAGAGCACAGGAAAATGTACCCAGGCAGTAAAAAGGCGACTCTTCTGAATAAGCAGGAAAAGACTAGAGACAGAACTAGGATTTATGCTTGAAACTTCTATTTCTGATGTAAAGTCTATGAGTGTTTCTGTGTCACTTTCACCGATAACAAAACTGGATGTTTCTAAAGTCGAATCTAACGATTCAAGCAAATTGCCATATAACATTGATGTCGAATGTATTACATCATTAAGGTCTTGTGATGTAACATGCCCCCCCCTCTCTCTCTCTTTATTCATTTGTCATTTAGGCAAGAAATACGAGAGTTTCATTGAAATTTAAATATCAACAACATGACCACTATCCTGCCATTTGTAATTTTGTTTAGTGTCATCTGCAGAAAGTCAAAATGCGTTTACAAAACTAGCTTTGATTGGTTAAGTTTTTATCCATTCGAAACAGTTATCTGATATACATCTGAACCCCACACCCCCACCCCACACCACACCACTTGTACAGGATTAAAGACCTTATATGCGATGTGTCTACCGCTCATGCATAAATGCGTTGCAAATAACTTCTTAAATATTGAAAGAAGAGTTAATATATAAAATGCTAACAACAGTACATAAATATTTATATATATACCTTCTGTCGATTGTATTCCACTGCGTTTACAATATGCATTGTCTATTCCTCTATCACATACTATATTCTGGTTTTCAGGTGTAGCAACAAAATACGAATCCCCTGAGCAGACTTCTGTTTTTTTCTCTCCATGAACGCAACGGGTATAATTTTTGCATGATCCCTCAACTGGAATGTAGGCGTAGTTTGGTTTGCCTTCACAGCTATAGGGGTCGTCTACAAAGTTAGGATCTGTTGTGGTAGCTGTAAATCATAAAGGTAAATATCAATTACGTATATAAATAAAAACATAACATATAATAATACTTGAACATGAACCGGAAATGTACACAATATATCATATTATTCTAAAGTATTCTCCAATGACAATCACAACCATTTTGTCTTCGATTCATATGGGATGAATGTTGTCAAGGTCTCAAGGACTATGTCTTGTAGTGTGTTTACACCCCAACCTGTCAGGTTAATAGTTTGATATCGTCATATGGCCCTAGATAAATTTTCACCATTTTCCTGACTTTTTACTAGGAAGCTGATTTAAAATCAAAATAAATAATATAAAAACAAGCCAGTATTAACAACCTTTTGCAAAACTGCGTGAAGAAATATGGACAGTGATAGACTGAAGATTATCTACCCATACTAATTATCAACAATTATCAACAATTACCAGGGGCCTTGGATATTCTTAAAAACTTGAATAAGATAAATTTCAGATTTTAAGAAGTACAGTAATGTGATTCTTATCAATTTTAGTGTTTGACCAATCAAATAACTGGATCAGTAAAATCATCTGAAGTAAAGTTTTTCAGAATAAGGTCCCTGGTATATTTCAAAACGTTTTAGTTATTGTCTTCAAACGCAATACACATTCGAATGACATTTTAGTCCACTGTAGACTGAAACATAATATAACTAATTAGAGTTTTTTTAACGAGTGAACCAAAATACGGCGGATTAGATTGTGGTGTATATCGAGAAAGTTCCTTATCATATTTCAACCCGAGCGACTTACTACAGATATATATGTAGCAAATGGAGTAACTTTATAACACGATGTGCATGTTTACTTACCAACAGCATCAGTGCAACCTTGAGTATTTTCATTAAAACAAAATCTTGATGATGCTCCACATGTGTTTATATAAGTTATATTTGTTCCACACTGGATAAACAAGTAACAATCATCATATGGATGGTCATAAAGTTTATCTTCTTTTCCCACACAATAATCAGCTAAAATAAACAAATAATTAAAAATATTATATAGCAAATAATCAGGATTATGCGAAAATCACTTTGAGAGTAAGAATGATAATTCTTGTGGAAAGTCTAGACACTAGCAGCCAATTATGATGTTCATTGGCATTCGAAATTTCCTCCACGGCTAGGTCTGACAACAATACTCTGTTGGTCAAAAGTTTGTACACATTCTGCTCCACTTCTAATGGTCTTGAATTGTCCCTTTGGTCTCTATTGATATGGTAAAATGTTGCATAAGTTTTGAGTCAAAGTCAAATATTAGTTTAACCTGGTATTATGTACAGCTTCTTGCAAGTCGATGTTGTGATTTGGTCTTGAGTTGCAGTACAGCATAAGGATGCGTTGTGCCAACTCTTGTCAAACTTTCGTCTTATGGAAGATTTTACTATATTGGAGCATGTTTTGTTCGAGTTGATGGTAGTTAAAACTGAAAAATCGTTAGGGTCTTCTTCAACAAATTCCACAGACCAAGACACAGTTGCAGCTGGAACTCCTTTATCCACGGAACAATATATATCCCCTCCAGTATCTTCGTTTTCAATGAATTTAATAGGTAAATATATTTCTGGAATTCCTGGTTTAACTGCAATATAAGGACGTGAGTCACACACTTTTACACTGACATGTTATCAACCGATATTCGATTAGTTCGAATAGTGATAGGCTCTACCTATAGACATCAAATATACTCTTGTTAAATTATGTGAAAATTTAAGGGAAACTCATGTTTTGTTTTTGAAATAAATGAAATGTAAAGCTATAGCCAAGATTATATCACATTTTAAGATAAGTGTAAGAGACATAGGAATCGAAAACAAACCACCATTAGGTACTATATTCCCAGTCGATTGACTTGTAGTAATACGATTCGCAACACCTTTGGACAACTAACCACTTACAAACACAAGATCTCAGACAGGCAGCCACGAACAAGACACTGGACCCAGAAGCAATGAACAAACCTACCTTTTACAACTGAGGAAGTTGAATCTTCTACAACACCCCAATCTCCATTAACACTGCATCGGAAACTTTTTTCCGTGTCTTCGCAAGTTGGATTATTGTACGTTGCTGCCAATGTCAAGGTTTCATCATTAGTTGTTTGGACCAATGTCCATTCAGAATCTTCAAAACCATGATCATTTCCAGTCATATTAAATATTATAACGCCGTCATATTCTAGATTGATGCTCGTGAAGTTGTGGTAGTTGTCTACAGTGCATATGAATGTCAGATTTCCTTGGTCTTGGTATACCGTTTCCCCAGTGGCTTTCACATCTGCAATACATTTGATTTGCATTTACATAAAGCAGCATATCATTTTCGGTGCAACGTAGTCATGGCAAATAATATAAAAAAGGCTGTCGTGAACAGGGGATTCTTTGGTAAACCGCCAAAAAATTTGAATTCCTTGATACAATACATGCATAACATCTACACTTTCAAATTCAAATTTATACTCATAATAATCAATATAAACACCCAATTTAGTCATTACCTGGTTTGGGTATCGGCATGCTTGTTGACATGATATCTACAATGCTGGAACTAGGATTTATGCTTGAAACTTCTGTTTCTGATGTAAAGTCTATGGGTGTTTCTGTGACACTTTCACCGATAACAAAACTGGATGTTTCTAAAGACGAATCTAACGATTCAAGCGAATTACCATTAAACGAATCCGACGCATATAACATTGATGTCGAATGTATTACATCATTAAGGTCTTGTGATGTAACATGCCCATCGAACATACTTGCAGAGAAGCTCATTTCCATTACTGAACTTTCATCTATACTTGTTAAATATGGATTTGAAAACGAACTTGTGACGTAATGCAGATCAGAATTATCAGATGTTCTAGATGACTGTGCCATTAGATCACTCGTACCATCAGTACTTTCTACATCCATCTGTTGATCTGTGGATGTAACATGTCCAAGGAAACTTGGTGTAGCGTCTACTGTACTTGTAATGTCTGAATTTGGAACAGAGCTTGGAGCGTAGTGCATATCACTTCCGGTTGTTGTAGATGGCTGCGCTGAAGAGACCATTTCCACCATGGCTGAACTTGAGTCAGTTGGATAGCTGTTCATTACACGAGAAGAGTCTACAATCATCATTACATCACTATTCGTAGATGTACTTTCGACATGCATCTGTTGATCAGTTGATGTAGCTTGTTCAACAGTAAAGCTTGGTGTAGTGGCCACTGGACTTTCATCTGTACGCGTTGTGTAAGAATTTGAAACAGTGCTTGGGTCGTAGTATAGGTCAGTTAATTTAGATGTTGTAGATGACAACATCATAAGATCGCTCGTACTATCAGTACTTTCGACATCCATCTGTTGAACTGACGAGACAATTTCCACTATTGCTGAACTTGGTTCAATTGAATAGCTGTGCAATTCACGAGAAGAGTCAACTGCCTCTGTAATGGTTTGTTCCTTAGAAGTTGCTGTTGTGTGCGGATGTAGGTTAGAGTCAGTTAGATAGGACGTGGTAGAATCAGTAGAATACATTTCTTCTACAGTCGATCTCGTTTGATCTGTTGGTGAACTTGCTTTATTTAGTTCGTCCTCAACGTCAGTAGTCAATATTTGTGTTGATTCTTGTATTAGTTGTTCCGTTGATGTAAAGGCGATCGGAGCCTGTGATCGACTCTCTGGTAATGACGTGGATACATATTCCTCATGTGAAGTGGATGTAGAAGGAAGTGCATTGTTTGTTGAAAACATCTCGGCAGAAGAACTGTCTAATTCATCAGAACGGTCGGTAGAGAGCTTTGGTGAAGATGTGTACTCAAATGCATTTGATGTCTGGTCTTGTGTTGAAGATAATTTGTAAGAGGTGCCGATTAGCTCGGTTTGTGAAGCGGATATATGCGCAGTTGCTTCTGGTTCAGTGGTCAAAGTTACTGATGTTGTGCTTCTTGGATCAATTAAAGATATTACAGTTGAGCCTGTAATGCCAGATGAAGCTATTGAAGAGGTGGAAGATGTTAAGCTATCTGACTCCAGCATTAAAGAAGGTGTACTGTCCTTAGCGATAGTTGTATGGATCTGTTCTGTAGTCGTGCCTTCCGGAAGAAAGACAGGTGTACTTGGTGTGACTCCTTCGTTTACACTCGAACTGGATGAAGATTTTGTGTTTTCTGTGTCTTTGTCTACAAAACAAAATACCATTTAATCTTCACTTTCATTGAAGTCTTTTTGAAAAAATGGTATTTATATTATTAAATTGACCATACACATTAAAAATATAAACAAAGAAACAGAGCATAAAGGTAAGACCTCATCAGATTTGAATTGAACAGATTTATCAAATCATAACAATCATTAGCAGCACAAAAGCGCATCATCATCAAAATTCTTCAAAGTCATAGTATATTCTGACAACGATTAGCATTCGCTACCAGAATAAATAATAGCAAGAGTAATTAGAACCAAAATACAAACAGAAGGTGTAGTTTCTAATGCAGAGCTATGATAGGTTACTTTGGTAACAGCCCAGACATATCAAGAGCAATAATTTTAATGTAATACTGAACAAGAGGGTGGGTGTGTAAACCATTATACCGATGCGATCTTATAATATAGGTATTATTTACCTAATAATAGGTACATTTAGGTTCAACTGACCTACCTTACGTGACTGAGGCTCCTAGTCAAGAGTCATTATACACTTTTTATCACTTACCAGCTTGCCATTTTATGGAATCCTCCGGCAAACTGTCTTCATTAATCGTTCGGGTTTCTGCCACGCTAAAGGAATCTGACTTTATTTCGAAAATACCCATTTGGATTTGTTCCTGCCCGTTCTCTTTAACAAGAAGGTTTTCCGTAATTAGTATTTGGACTTCCGCTTCCGACTTCTCTGTTTTGATATATATGAAGAAAATTACGACGATCGAACCATTTCTAACAAATAAAATCAAATTACAGCATTGATATCAGTATGTCCATTGGATGATGCAAAAACGCTAAAAACACAAAATGAAGTGATCCTATTTATTTTTTTTATGCCTCATCATGAAAATGCAATAATCGTGCTAGCGTTGGTCAAGCAACTAATTGTCTTTAATTTTCTTCTAATTTAACAAAACGATCTCATAATTGATATGAAAACTTCGATCTTGATCTGCAAATTAACTACTCAAAAATGTTTACCTAAGCGACTCAACCTTGCAGTTTGAAGTCTGGTCCAGTTTAGTTTGTGCCTGGAATGATAAAAACCTAGAGATTAACGAATATTTGAGCTTTCTTATTGCATGAAACGGACTGCAAAGGGTAATAAAAAGAGATTTAACGTCCTATTTTCTGCATCAGGATTAATTTAATTTAACTAAGGACCATTGCGTACAGGAATGAAGAGACAGAACTATTTCTCATTTAATTACTTACCGCTGAACAAAATTGGTCTTGGAAGTCTTGAAATACTTGAGATGATGAATCTTCCATACCTTCTGAATACTTCTGATTAGTTGCCGTCACTGTTAATTTAGACTGAACTGAAATATGTGACAATTTCATACAGTGTTATTGCTAAGAAAGCATGCTCTGACTTCTGATATACCTGATACCAATTTTGCAACAACCTACCTCTAGGAATTCATAAGAACAATATATTGCTTATTCGTGTGATTCACCACGAGCGCAACTGGTCTGAATTGTTACGCATTTACAACATGATTAATCCACAAACGTAGAAAATGTCAAGTAGTATAAAGAGACAAAAAAGTCAAAGGGAACAATCCTAATTCAACGGAAGCTTTTTTTCAGAAGATTTCCTTTCTTATTCTAAAAACTATGTCACCGACTTGACATAATCACCATTAGTTTTTAAATGATAAATTATTCAAAATAATTAATAGTAAACATATAGCCAGGTGTAGGAATAGCACAAGCAATTAGCAATGTGAAGCAATGTTCCTTAACAGAATGGAGCGTTAGATAATGATCTGTTTGATCATAAATTGAATTCCATATGTCTTGTACATGTATATATATTATATACCCTACTGAAAGTTCCAGATCTAGAGTAGTTAACATTTGCATATCAATGACATAGTTGGTTAATAATTCAACAAATTTAAAATACATACCATATACATTTTTATTCTCAGCTGAAAAAAATTCAAAGCATTTCTTAATCTGTTGGAAGTAATCATATTTTAATCATGTTTGATTTTTTGCTGTAGCCACAGAAGTTTGCTGTAGCCACAGAAGTTTGCTGAGAAGTTTGCTGTAGCCACAGAAGTTTGCTGTAGCCACAGAAGTTTGCTGTAGCCACAGAAGTTTGCTGTGCTGTAAATGCGGGTGTTAACGTTAACATGACACACTCTTGGGAGAATGTGGTCTCTTATAAATTTATCAGTTACTCGAGTTAAGGGGAGAATAGAACAGTTTTATGTTCACTTATGTTCGGATAAATTTAAGTTTACGTCCAATAAAGTAGATTGCACAGCCAACACATGCTAGTTTTTCTTTAAACGAGGAGGGTCATATAATACAAATGAAATGAGTTTTACGTCTTACTTTTTTGCACCATGTGGGCTAATGAAGACATATAATACAGATTCACAGGGTAGTACCCCATACGAAACTACGTAGGGTTCTTACATGGTAATATATGGTTTTAAGAACCATACGTAGTTTCTTATGGGTAGTACCCATTCTGTTGGTTTTGCCAGGCAGCTTTTTAAATTATATTCCATATTATGTCGAGGTACTTACAGGCACCAATAACGTGTATTAACAGAGCTGAAGTAATACATGCTGCCAAAACCAGACAGGTAATGAAAGTAACAACAACGAAGCAAATACATCTTTTACGTTTAAATTCTTTCATCTTTTTGATATTATTATCCTTGTCGCACCATTCGGAATCACTGCTGCTGTTTTCTATTGATCTAATCGTTGCATTTTTATAAGGAACCATTTGATTATCATACAATTCGTTTGTGTTAGTCGGATCGTATGAAGAGGAGGTTTGACCATATTTCAGTTGCCACTTGAACTTGATCTAGAATAAAGAAATATATTTTTTCTGTTGAGGCAGATTTCTTCTGTGCCTTGCTAGAGCTTTTAAAGGCAACAGTACAATTACACTGTGTTCAGTGGCCAGTGGTGGTACAGGGGGAGGGGGGATGGCATTTTTTCTAATTTTTTCTTGAGAGAACCCTCTAAGACGCTTTGTGAGAGGCCTGTGACAACTCAACAATTCTTGCTTGATGAATTTGACTTGGAAGGATTGTGTTTCACTCAAGGATGAAGCCTATTGAAAATAAGAAAAATCAAGAATATTTAGTATAAGCTATTGCCTTTGTTCTTGAAAACGCGTTCAGCTTTCAGCTCATTAACACTCCAGAAGGCACAATTATTGACGGATTTTGATGAAACGTGGTGAAAAAAATGATCCCTATTGAAAAAAATAGAGAATTATTTTATACGAGATATTGACCTCAATCTTGAAAACGCATTCAATTTTTTGCTTGTAGACACTTAAAAGATCAATTTTTCCTGGATTTTGACAAATTGACAAAACATGGTAATATTGCTCAGTATCACCCCAAAATGTTCAAAAGAAGTATATGACCGAATTTCATACTGGTGATTGTTACTGTACTGCCTCATATTTTTTTTATCTAAAGTTAAAGCTACCTGCGGGCGTGTATTTCGTTGTCTGGCAAGCTATCTTACATTTGCTGTATTTTACCCTGAATCTTAAGAGTGCTTGTACTAAAGTTATAACTAGTTTTTGTAACTAACTTTGAATATCAACCGGGTCGGAAATATTTATGCAATTTATTATCAACGGACATCTTGTTACCTACAAATTTTCCCTTTTTAACACGAAGAATGCTAAACAAAATCATGGAAAGCAAACTCTCGAGATATCATCTTTCTGTTTAAGCAGAGGAAATTTGAAGCTTGGGTGTGCCTATTTTGTGATGAAGTTTTAAGAAAGGATACGAAACAAAAAATTCTACGAAATTATTAGTTTTTCTATAAAATATTTGATCATGCCTCAACTAACAATTTAAAATTCCTCGGCAAAATATATTTTTTATTAAAGGTGCAATATGCAAACTATTCATTATCTATAATGTCGTAAATTATACTTAAAAATATTACTAAAATATACTTTTTACATCTATGTATCTACTTGATCAAACTTTTAAAAGGGTTAATTAAAAGTACCAAGTGTACTAAGCTGGATTTTTGTGTATAGTTCATAAATTTTAGGAAAAATGTTTTCGATCTACGGAAAAATTCCCCTTTAAACCAAACCACTTAAAGCTTTTAGCTTTTGTGACCAACTGCCGTGAGACAAAACAAAATGTATTTTGTAAGCAGTTTCATACACGCGAACAACAGGACAGTAATCTTTTTTAAAATTTAGAATACTCCAATGAAAAGATTTGTACATTGTTCATTTCACATGTTTTAAAAATTACATTAAAAGAATATTAAATCGCCCAATTTAATCTATTTCAACGTCAAGTTAGTTATGATCCAGAGAACTTCCTAGTTGTTCATTGATTTTTTAATGCATAGGATTATGGAGCAATAAACTACATTATTATGAAAAGAGTAACCGGATACGTCTTACTTAGTGATTATATCTTCGCTATAAGTGTTTTATTATGGCAATAAATAAATAGATTTATTGTAGGTATCATATTCTACGATGTAAAATGTAATTTTGGAGGAGTCGAAACCGGCGCTAACAAGATCAGATGCAATTATGTCGTAAACGACTTTTACCTCTTTGAAAAGTATTCATATTTAAACATTATATATCACTTTTGAAAATGTCACGAGTACACTATGCTGTTATTAAAGAGGGTTGACAGAAAAGTCCATTTAAGTGGGATCTCAATCGGATTGAAACAAACATCATAGACATTACAGCCGCAACTATGATCTTTGTCTTTGTACCAGACAATATTATATATATTATATATTGAGCCCTAATTTTCTGCCACTAACATGGATTGAATATTAAATGTTAAATATGAGTACATTAAGTATATTGGTGTCTAGAAGGTTAATTATGTTTATTTAAAATATCTCACTTTCAAAGACAACATAATCGTATTTGCATAATATTACGTATCATTCTTCATCTTGGGGGTTTCGGGTATTAAAACTTGCGACCGATATCATAAAGTTGTGTTCTGTTGTTTAATACTTATAATTCGATAAAAAAGAAAAGATTCTGGCCCGGCTTTGTCCCTCCCCCCCCCCCCCCCCCCACTTTCAAATTTTTATCATTTTAAATAGTGAAAGAATGGCCTGTGCACGCCCCCAGGGAAATTGGGTGCCCCTTTCTCGGCCCACCTCGTGGCCCTTAGAAACGCCACTGATAATAACTCCACTTTAACTATTTCATTAGATAATTCGTACACGTATGCAACACACAATTTATCATAAGTCTTCACTTTGTGACCTATGCCAGTGTTTTTATGAGACTATGTTCTCATCACCATCTAACAATAAATTATATAACTCGACTTGAAATGTTGCAAATGGATAGTTCTTTGATTGTGCTATGATTTTTACAACAACAAAAAATAATATTCCTGTCCCATTTCGAAAAATTTCTGTCAAAGAGGGGAACAAGTCAATGTTGTATAGTGCACGCCACTTAGTTAGTAGTGCAGTGATACATGGTAAGCTCATACCTCTTGAACATCATACATCATATTGAGACTGATCTTGATTTCAAAGAGTAAATTGGTATTATCTATGAGAATCATTGAAAAACTTGGTGCAGTAGGTTATTATTTGTCATCAGTCTGAATACTTTCAAGATACTCAAATTATGGATCAAATAGAACCAATATGTATTGGGCCGGCCTTGATGATTACGGATTTTCCATATTTCGTCACATACTCAATATTTTAGGCAATTACTTCAAGATAATAATTTGTATTGAGTAGTCGTCGGTTTGTCAGTCCACAATTTCTCGTAAACAACATAAAAGGCACAGTTCGTGATGGAAACGTATTGAAATTGTTTATTATTAAGTATATTAACCTCGAAATATTGCCCTGTGAAATGCGTTCATTTTCTTAGCTCGTGATCACTAGATGGATAGAATAGATGGATTCGGAGATAATGTTGTAAAATGGTTAATTATCAAATATGCCTTATTGAAAAACAATAGACATTTAAAGAAACACAAGATAAAATATGGATATACATGTACTATATTCTATGGAAGCCGGCTGCGGCCATATCTACTCTCGACTTCTCGCCCACGAGAAAGCGAGGAATCTCGACTTCTCGCCTTTTTCGTCGCTTGCTCGCCCTTTTCATCGCTTTCTCACCCTTTTCCTCACCTCTCGCCCTTTTCCTCGCTTTCACGCCTTCTCGCCCTTTTCCTCCCTTTCTCGCTTTCTGGCCTTTTTCCTAGATATCTATGTATCCACTGGATCAAACTGAATTTGATTTCAATGCGTTAATTAACAAATGGATCGTTTATTTTATCTTGTAAATGGATCGTTAATTAATTAGTTTGACCTAATTTTGATGTTTGTCTTTTTAATGGCTCAATAATTTTAGTTGGAACTTTCAGAAAAATTAGGCGACATATATTTCTCTAAAATAATGCGTTTAATTTGCTTAAATCCGTACAGTAGTTTTGTTGCAATTAACAAAAAACAATACAAACTTACAAAGTTTATATAATCTGTAGCCTAGGCCTACGTCATAAGCTTATAGAATAGTTTTGGCGTTTAAAGGCTGGATTTCTTAACTTAAAACTTTCATATATTATTATTCAGGGACATATTTTTCTAGATTTTGGTATATCTTTTTGTCACAAATTTGAGCAAAAAAAAATTCTTTTACCTACAAAAAAGCGGAATGCCACCGTTGAATGAATTTCATATCAATCAGTAAACTAAAAATCGAATTTTTGTAAAAATATTTGTACACATATATCTTGTTACAAAGAACATATAAAATAAAACCGAGTTTAATTGGTCCATATATATATAAGCCCTACAGAGAAAGAGAGGAAAAAGGCGAGAAAGCGAGGAAAAAGACGAGAAAGCGAGTAAAAAGGCGAGAAAGCGAGGAAAAGGGCGAGAAAGCGAGGAAAAAGTCGAGGAAAAAGGCGAGAAAGCGAGAG